AACACTTATCCCATTCATGCTCTAGACGTTTCATTTCATGATTTGTATTTTGTTGTTTCACTGGTAGATAATCCAGACTGGAGATCTGTGGAGATATGCCGTATAATCAGCCCGTTGGTAGGCAAGTAAGTTTTAAAACTAGATACTCGTTCTGCTGCGAAGCTGCCTCTGTGGTTTCGTTGATAGGAAGATTTTGTAAATTTCAATACTCTCATCGAATATGTGGTAGACACCGGCGTTTATAATAATTGTGAAACCCACGTACACGTTTCTGATTGATTACGGTTGAATGTTTTTACAAATCGTGCATGTCCGTAGTCTAGCTGGCTTACCGTTGGTTCATCAATTTGTTAATTATTTTATAGGTTTAAATTCGAAAAAAAGTGCACATTTTGTCAAGACGTATATATTCGTAGTACCTACGCATTTGTTGTCATAGAAACAAGTTATAATTCAGCAGCAGATTCGGTATCCCTCAAGCTCATTACTTCCCCAAATCTTGGGTTATTTCAGTCAGACAATCTTCTGACGTATAGGTGCACTCTTTTACGATTTGATTCAAAAATCTCCCATTTGATTGGATCCCGGCAAGACACATTTAAACTCCTTATTAACATGTTAAATAGTTTTGGCATATTCGCAGGGAAAGAACCATCGCACTCGCCATGCTGGCATTAAACACACGCCATGATTCTGTAATGGCTGCGTTCCCATTGGTTCCCAGTAACTGGTACTGGGTCAGGTGAACCAGTCAGCTGGCTCGGTCTTGTCACGTGGGCAGGACCAGCCAACCAGAAGGCAGCATCCTCAAGAACGGGGTTTTATTCTAGAGTACCTTTCAGGGAGGCAGCAATAAAGCAGTTTAATAGATGGCTTGTGATTGGTTAACCGGCCGGCCAATCACAGACGATCTCGTGGTTTTGCGCCGTCTGATTGGCTATAGAAGTCAGTCACGCGGCTTTCAGCTGTTGACCGATATCTTTGATAATCTGGTCACTGCTTGGAGCTTCTTTTTGGGGGGTCGCTGTTCTTCCACCGGTGCTCTAACTTCCTCTCCGAACCGAACATCAGTTCGTTTTGAGTGGTATCCGGAGAGATTGTGTAAAACACAGGCTAAGTCAGCGACTGACCCGTTTATCAGGGAGACAGCCTGTAAACTGACAGTCAGACTGGTCATGGTGCTCGACACATAAAATTAAGATTCTAATCTCTCTCGCCCGTAATTTGACTGTCAGATTTGTGACAGATTGTCAGAGTATCTTCATATTTGCTCTCAGAGATTCTCGCTGAACTCCCTGACACTTTCTCATTCGGTAATATTATTTGTGCCTATCCGTGTCGTGTTCACCCTCCAGCTCCCTTCTCATTCGGTAATATTATTTGTGCCTATCCGTGTCATGTTCACCCTCCAGCTCCCTTCTCATTCGGTAATATTATTTGTGCCTATACGTGTCATGTTCACCCTCCAGCCCCCTTCTCATTCCTCCAGCTCCCTTCTCATTCCTCCAGCTCCCTTCCCATTCCTCCAGCTCCCTTCTCATTCCTCCAGCTCCCTTCTCATTCCTCCAGCTCCCTTCTCATTCCTCCAGCTCCCTTCCCATTCCTCCAGCTCCCTTCTCATTCCTCCAGCTCCCTTCTCATTCCTCCAGCTCCCTTCTCATTCCTCCAGCTCCCTTCTCATTCCTCCAGCTCACTTCTCATTCCTCCAGCTCCCTTCTCATTCCTCCAGCTCCCTTCTCATTCCTCCAGCTCCCTTCTCATTCCTCCAGCTCCCTTCTCATTCCTCCAGCTCCCTTCTCATTCCTCCAGCTCCCTTCTCATTCCTCCAGCTCCCTTCTCATTCCTCCAGCTCCCTTCTCATTCCTCCAGCTCCCTTCTCATTCCTCCAGCTCCCTTCTCATTCCTCCAGCTCCCTTCTCATTCCTCCAGCTCCCTTCTCATTCCTCGTGATTTGATAGCGAGTTATTAGATTTGCTGTCTGGTGTTCAGATTCCTACATGTTAGATATTATATAAGCTGAGCATGTTCAGGTTTTTAATGAAACATGTACCAAGCCCCACCTTATTACCCCTGCCTTATCATCCTTATCACGACCCACTCTAAGAAGGTGCAGTTTTGCAGCAGAATATTCGCGAGTTTGACTGGTGATGTCACAATGGTGTCCCCTCCTCCGCCTCCTCCTCATTACATGCAAACACTCCTTTACTCACCAACCAATTACACTAAGTAGTCCGCCACTTAATTTGCTTCACAAAATATATGTCGTCCAGCTCTTTCAAGTACACTCGACCGCCAGCTCTGTTACTTTGTGTCTCCTCCGCGACAACTGAGAAAACGTTGGAGCTTCGGAGCATTTTTGTCGTTTGAATGTTTGATTTTTTGTTCGGATTTTAATTTTTTACGCGAATTTAATATTCAAGCCACGTGAGGAAATCATAATTTCAGTGCGTTAGTAATTAATATCGAATGCTACACTAACAATCCTTCTGTACCACATGCGTATCGTCCAATTTACTTTGGATTATAAATTAATATGAACTAATCTAAAACATAATTGAGTCCGATTTGTTCATTATCCTCCCCTGGTTGTGGGGGCGGAAACAAATCGGCCCAATCAATTCTCAGCTAAATTTATCGTTAATTAGCATTGTCTATAACTTGGATTAATCTCGGTCACCCCACGCTGTATAACTATATTCACTTCTCACCAGGTTAAACTTGTCCGCTGAGCTCAGCCTTACTCGCTCATTTTTTAACGTCAGTTTTATAGTTTAATCGTGATAATTGATAGATAATAATTAATTATTAGATAATTAGTGTTTTCTCCGTTTAGCTTTCTTAAATTACTCTGATTTAAAAATTAAATCAAATGAACTCGCAGGTTTTTTTTTTCTTCATGGTGACAACTTCGCACTCTGATGGGGCAATTCGACCCTCACTTAGTCCTTACTGGCCTAGATATTTCAGCAAATTACCCCATTAACATTCCCGCTGATGGGATTTTGGAAAGCTTTCCCTCGAAATTAGCCCAATTCCCCTCCATCATCTCCGGTAAAGCTCCACCGAACTGTGCCATCTCCCTAAACTTTCGAGTCTTGTAATAAAGTCCATTAGGATTCTAGCAGTCACGTGACGGCGAATATTATTCCATATAGAGGAAATTTTAATATCATTAATGCGTTCTCTCTGTACCGCTTGGAGGCAGGTCTGTGAGCAAGCTTGGTTCAACCGTTCTCCGGGAGTCGTCCAGGTTAATTTAACTTGGTGCTGGCCCCGTCCCGGTCTCCCTCATTAGGGGGGGGGGGGGGGGGGGCGGGGGGGGGGGGGGGGGGGGGGGGGGGGGGGGGGGGGGGGGGGGGGGGGCAGCTCCAATCATTAATAAAACTCGTGTTAGATTCTAGATTTCACGATCTCCCAGGACACCACTGTTTTGCAGGTTCTGAACCTGTTTCTTTAACCGTTTAACATGCTTCTTATCGCTTAGAAAGTATTGTTGTTGCGATGTAGCGAGTTTGGTGATATGGTCCTAATTGTTTACACGCGAGCATGTCGAGAACAATGTTTGCCTGGGTAATTACTTTAGTCATATTTCATAGTGTTAGTGTTTTATCTGTCCTGAACCCTACTACATATTATGTACTATAATATAAGTAATATATAACTAAATCTTCACTTCTCCGTTTTACCAAGTTGGGTACGATGTAATATTGTGCAGTACGTTCAGTATTACTATTTTGAAATTATCCAATACAGCGCTCAGTATTACTATTTTTTTTATAATATTGTGCAGTTCGATCAGTATTACTATTTTGTCAGCGCGTCAACCCAGAGCCAAACCCACGTGACCTATAACTCACTGTTTCGCACTGAGGAGCTGTTAGAAACGCAAGTATTGAGTCACAGTGAGCTCTGCTATACTCTGCACTCCTACCTGAAGTGGGCCGACACTTCCTGTCAATGTCCGGGATCACACTACTTTCCGTGTGCCCGCCCTCCCAGTTTTGATTAATTGGTGGATTGGTTGGCGATATCTTATTACTATTTCGGATTTGTCATATGTTAATTATGCCCGTGTTTACATTTTACGTCTCCCAGTAAATGTCGACATCTCATACGAGAGAAGTAGCCGGTTTCCTGGCTCACCGTTTTAAAATTATTCACATTATTACGGTCTCTGGTTGTGGTTGTTAATCGTAGCTCGATCACTATGGTTTTACAGTTTACACTCGTCACACCGCCTGAGAAGCTATGACTATCAACTAGAACTCTGAATTAGTATAATAAGTAAAGGGTAATATAAGCAGGTTGAATGTGTGTCTGGGTCCCCTGAGTGCAGTGGTCAGGGTGACAGCAGTAAGGGTAACACGTGACACTCAGTGTCACCATGACAACCCCAGTAAGGGTAACACGTGACACTCAGTGTCACCATGACAACCCCATCTCCTCAACATGCAGGGTTTTATACCTCTCCCTGAGGGGCCTGGCTGTAAACACTCACACCTCAGTACAGAGTGCCGCTCCGTCAACTCGGTGATTTCATCTTGGTCTGTGTGTGTGTGTGTGTGTGCGTGTGTGTGTGTATTTCATCGTTATTAGATCAGTAATGTTTTGATCATGATGTCGGGGCTGGTTTCACTTCCTTGTCGAACACGTCTTTCTACTTACATAATGTACAGGTTCACTGTTTGTGCTTGGAGCGGTTATTTATTTGTGAGTGTTTCCACCTGAATGGTGGTTATCTTACCGGGTTGAGACCACTTTACTTCCTTTATATTCTACTTACTTAGTGTTTGTTTAATAATTATTCAATAATATTATTATTACCTTGCCGCAATTTCTCTGTTCTTTCCTTTTTGTTTTCATTTCCACTGAGTTTAATCAAGTAATGACTTTTCCATTTTACTTATTTGTTGATAAATAAAATATGCATTTTACCAATTATCCGTTTAATACATCAACATTAATTAGATAAATAATGCTAACCATGTTGTTTCGTTTAGGTTGCTCGTTCCTTAAGTTTACCCAAAGATCAGCCGCCCTGAACGCTATTAATGCTATGCACAACAGCCGAATAATGGAGGTTTGTAATTTCTTGATTCTAGAAGTAATTCTGTGAACTCTCTTTGTATTATACCGTATTCATTCGAATGTCATATCAAGATGTTTTAATGGATATTTGAGAACGCAAACAGTCTCTATTATAAGTATTTTAGCTATTAGCTTGTACATCTCTAAAGTAAAATAGTCTCTATTATAGTTATTGTAAAATAGTCTATTATAGCTATTATCTATTAATTTAGTCTCTATTATAGCTATTAATAACATGTCTAACCCCCATCTTCAGTCTCCTCCATTCCAGGGCGCATCATCACCACTAGTAGTAAAGTTTGCCGACACAGAGAAAGATAAAATGATGAGGAGGATGAACTCCTCGGTGGGTCTGGTGTACGCAGGATTTCCAGCCATGGCTGGCTCTGTCAACCAGTACGCAATGTACCAGCAGGTACGTTTCTAGCTCAATGTATTATTTCACACATTTTTACACATTTTTGCAGTTTGTTGTACTGTTTTTATAATATTGTGATCACACCCTGTATAGCTGTTGAGTGAAGGTATGTTAACGCCGTTCTTCAGATTTAACGCCCAATTTGCCACTCGCAGTTCTTTCCGACACTGTTGTAGTTCTAGCTCTTTTGGTTCCATTTTCTTACACGCCACTTTTATTCTTGTAGTTCTTGAATTCCTCCTCTAAACCTCCTCTAACCTCCTCTAAACCTTTCAAATCCCACCAGCGATCACATCTCACTTTGTAACCATGGTAACTTTAATAATCCTACCCAAGACTCCCAACATCTTATTTTATACCATTTCTCTGAACGCGACTAAACGCACTCCAATTACAGCAAATGTTACAGCAACAGGCACTGATGCTACAAGGTCTCATACCTGGTCAGTCTACCATCGGAGCTTCTGCCATCCCTGGTAAGTTAACATCATAGCAATCAATATACCTTTACTTTTAATTTACAATTTTCAAATTGGATTTTAGATTCGATTTTCCATCTCGATGATGATTAAGCCTCTTATTTGTATTTGGCTGACTTTTTTGGAGTCCTTTTTTAATTAATCCCATTTGATTTTTATTTAGTAGAGCGGTCTTTAAATGATGATTGGCGTTAATGCGGCTCCTTTTTCCCTAGATTCTGATTTAATATCCTAGTAAACGAGATTTAATCGGTGAGCTAGTTTGTGGCAATACATATATTACATCGTAGTAATTGCTGGTAAACACAACATACTGGCTACTCAGCTGGTTTCACAATTTACCGCTTGAGTAGTAGTTACCATAGTAACTGCTTTACAACCTCTACCACCAGAGGCCATAGCAATTTATTTGGCAAAAAATAAAAGTGCCGAGACAGATAAACCAAGTGCGTTGTGTTTACCAGATTGACTCGTAGCTGTTTACACGGATGTAACCCAGCTTTTAGTGTTATACATGTCCGTTACACCCCCGTTACCTAGAGACCAGTACTTCATGTCCGTTACACCCCCGTTACCTAGAGACCAGTACTTCATGTCCGTTACACCCCCGTTACCTAGAGACCAGTACTTCATGTCCGTTACACCCCCGTTACCTAGAGACCAGTACTTCATGTCCGTTACACCCCCGTTACCTAGAGACCAGTACTTCATGTCCGTTACACCCCCGTTACCTAGAGACCAGTACTTCATGTCCGTTACACCCCCGTTACCTAGAGACCAGTACTTCATGTCCGTTACACCCCCGTTACCTAGAGACCAGTACTTCATGTCCGTTACACCCCCGTTACCTAGAGACCAGTACTTCATGTCCGTTACACCCCCGTTACCTAGAGACCAGTACTTCATGTCCGTTACACCCCCGTTACCTAGAGACCAGTACTTCATGTCCGTTACACCCCCGTTACCTAGAGACCAGTACTTCATGTCCGTTACACCCCCGTTACCTAGAGACCAGTACTTCATGTCCGTTACACCCCCGTTACCTAGAGACCAGTACTTCATGTCCGTTACACCCCCGTTACCTAGAGACCAGTACTTCATGTCCGTTACACCCCCGTTACCTAGAGACCAGTACTTCATGTCCGTTACACCCCCGTTACCTAGAGACCAGTACTTCATGTCCGTTACACCCCCGTTACCTAGAGACCAGTACTTCATGTCCGTTACACCCCCGTTACCTAGAGACCAGTACTTCATGTCCGTTACACCCCCGTTACCTAGAGACCAGTACTTCATGTCCGTTACACCCCCGTTACCTAGAGACCAGTACTTCATGTCCGTTACACCCCCGTTACCTAGAGACCAGTACTTCATGTCCGTTACACCCCCGTTACCTAGAGACCAGTACTTCATGTCCGTTACACCCCCGTTACCTAGAGACCAGTACTTCATGTCCGTTACACCCCCGTTACCTAGAGACCAGTACTTCATGTCCGTTACACCCCCGTTACCTAGAGACCAGTACTTCGTATTCATGTCCGTTACATCCCATTATAGTTTTGCCCTACCAGCCTATTTCGTTTGATTGTTGACTGTCGTCCTACCCCATTTCCTTTGCCCCCCCCCCCCCTCATTTTAAGAGTTTGGGTAGGGGTTAGAGCCAGGAATAATATTTGGGAATGGATAAAATTGGGGTTATCGTTAGTGTTGACGATGCAATGTTTACCCGTCCGGCTTTTCCAAAAGTTTATCATACAAAATAACTATCCCCATGTCCAAATTTCCTTTAATTAAGTTGTAAACCCTAATCTCCCCGCCCCACCTCCCTCCCCCCGTTGTTATCATATGTTGCATGTTGATTACAAGGCGAGGGTATGCTTTCTCTGGGCCCCTGGGGCCTGTGTTATCTCGCGAGTGTTGGGACCTTATATCGGCGGGTGAAATGTGCGTGTGGTATATTGTACACTTTACTGTGAATGCACTTCTTCTTTCATTGGCGCCCACTCGCCCCATTTTATCCCGATTTATTTTCTCCATATGATCGCAGGGCATTATATAATATGTGATTATAGAGCGACTCACTGATCGGTATTTGATTAAACTATGTGCTTTGCCGTGCCGCGTGGTTCCCATGGCAACGGTTGTAAAGAATCCAAGTTCAGGGACTATAATGAATGTTTGTTTGTTTATTGTTGAGATGTTATTTGGCGTGTAGCCTGTGTGCCATACGTTTACTGCTACAGTACCTGAACTTGTAACTTGTAACCATGGTAACTTGTAACCATGGTAACTTGTAACCATGGTAACTTGTAACCATGGTAACTTGTAACCATGGTAACTTGTAACCATGGTAACTTGTAACCATGGTAACTTGTAACCATGGTAACTTGTAACCATGGTAACTTGTAACCATGGTATCGATACACGTGAAGTAATAATGATAAAAGCGGGCATGCATCATGATAGATAATAAACTTTAAATTTATTCAAATTACTTTTAAGTGAATCATAGATGAAATTCTTTGGAAATGCCCCTCCATTTACGAATGCTCTTGTTAATCTGTACTAGCTTTACTTAAAACTCACACTAAAATATTTCAGAAGGAGCTCTAGTTGGAGGTCAGTCTCCAGCTGCTACAGCAGGACTTTTCGGGAACATCCCCATGGCGATCTCGTTCAATCCCCAGCTGGCTGCTCTTAACATGCAGGCCTCCCGGGTCCCACAGAAAGAAGGTACGTGACTTTTCTGACTTGGTGACGTCATAGTCACGTGACGTCACTCTGTGATGTCACGTGCCGCGTGACTTCTATCGATGCATGTATTGCTGTCAAGCTGTCATATATTCATGTGTACGTGACTTGAGATTATGAGTGTTCCCAACACAGCCGTATTACATGTGACTTTGGGTTCTGTGTTTCAATATTTTGTGTAAAGAATATTTCTCGTTATCTACTATCACTGAGTATATTATCTTCCCAATATCTCAGTGCATCAACCCCCCTCACAGCTCTCTTTAAATCACACGACCTCAAATTTAAAGTTTTTGACTTCAGGACTTCTGGAGACCAACCCCCAGCAGACATGGGCAGTGTCCGCTAGCCCCGGTCCCTCAAATGCCCTTATGCCATCCAGTCAGCCCCCGGCCCCCGCCATCCCCGACACATCAGCCACCACCAACACCACAACCTCCAGCAAGACTGAAACTGTAACCTCGGCCACAGCGTACGCTGATAACAAACCCCCGCTAGTTGCACAAGTGCCCCACAGTTACGCGGCTAGTTACATTTCCAGCGGCCACACCCCCAGTCTCGCAGCTTACAGTTATAACGGCGGATTATCAGCAGCTTATAACGGCGGATTGTCAGCTTATACCGGACTTTCAGGCGGTCTAGCCTCAGCAGGACTCACCCAAGCCGGACTCGCCCAGGCCGGATATGCATCAGCCGGACTCCCTGCCGGATATGCTTCAGCCGGACTTACATCAGCCGGATTAGCATCAGCCGGATTAGCATCAGCCGGATTAGCATCAGCCGGATTAGCATCAGCCGGAGGTCTCTCAGCAGGCTTAAGTCAGGGACTCGTGAGCGGATATCCAGGTCTGTCTTACTCTAGTGGATCTTTGTTAGGATCAGGACAGGATTATGCCTCTTACACTATGTCCCCAGGAGGTGGGGTCAAGCTCCTCCAGAACCCTTACGACCCTGCCAAAGCAGCGGCTCTCGGTCTCAGCTCTAACGGTCTCATCAGTAACCCTCTGAATGCAGCTGCAGCTCAACTAGCTTCATCTCCAAGTCTAACTGGCCATGCTGGGCTCGTACATTCGGCCTACGGGACTGGTCTCTCTGCGTCTCCCTTGAGTTTGGCGCGTCTCCACGGCGGGGCGGTGGGTATTCCGATGGGGCAGGGGCTAGCGGCGGGCGGATCAACCATGCGTACTGCAAGAGTATACAAGGGTACTGAATCAGGTATCTAGAAACTTTAAACCTTTCTCTAAGAGAGATCTTGCTTTGCAGCGTGGCTACAGGTCTTGCCAAACACAAGATAGTATTTCTTGTGATACCGATCGAAAATAAGTTTAATTTTTAAAGATTAGTGAAAAAGAAAACCGCAAATATTATACCACCAATAAAATTAGCAACACTTTCGTGTGTGAGTCAAACATCACTAGATACCTACTAACCTTAAACTTTGATTACATATCTGTGATTTAAACCACCTTTGTTTTGCACAATTACAGCTTATTTTTCATTCTCTGAACCTTTTCTTGGACCCTCTCACACTCACACCTACAGTGTCCTAATGTGTCAGTGTGCGTTAGAATTCTGTTTAAATATCCGCGGATTTGCTGACTGATTCATTTCCGTTCACTTTCAGTTCATGTATGCTATTAACTTGAATGTCTGTTTTTATGGGAAGTATAAATGTTATTTTCAAATTACTTACCTCACACGTAATCGCGGAAGAAGTAAGTCTGGTGTAACTCAATGTTTGAATTGTTAAGTTGGGTAAAGTAAGCTTAATTCCCTCCAACAACCGGTGCTCCAATCTTGTTCGTCTTTGTGTGTGGCAGTTGTATACTCGTCTATCCAGTAAACTTTAAAGCCATTTTAAAGATTTTGGCCTCAAAGTTTAAGGCCGCTAACTCAATGTCCTACCTGTTATGTGTGTCCCGTGTAGTGTGCTACATATTATGTGCTAATGATGGACCTGTGTAATGTATGTGATAAGTTTGTTTGTTCGGCTACTTGGCTCAGTGGTGGATCTCATCTAGCATGGCTAGTCATGCTTAAAGATACTGCAGGAAGTGGTTAAACCAATTTGCAATTGTTACCGAACCGACTATACAGGTTACCTTGTAGAGATTTGTAAATTTCAGTTCAATAATTATTTTAAAGGTATAGGTATAAGTATAATAGATCCACCACTGCTAACGCTGTGATTGTCCCAGAGAAAGCTGTGTGTTGTAGAACTCTGAAAATACTTTAATTGTTTGATTTTGTGGTTAATATTCGGCCCCCTACAGGCCATATAATAACATGTTCACTGATATACTTACTACGTGTTACTACCATACTGAAAATCAAAACAAAACTGCCAACGACCCAACAAGCAAATATTATTCACTGCATATTCGTGTGACCAGCTCATGACAGTATGGAAGACATGCTCATACTGTATATATCTGCAAATTTGCCTACATGCCCGCTGGGAAACAAGATCTCTGTTAAAAGCTGCATTTTGCTACACCCAGCACTCTGTTAAGATGGTTTATAGATGTTGCTATCCGTGGTCGGGCGATGGACCTTTGCTCTGACTTTTTATCACAGATGTAGGTTTTTACTAATTTAGCTTCGTGCTCAAGATATTTATAAGCATTTGAAGTCAAAACAAATGTGTATCGTCTAACTACCAGCAGCAGCATCTATGAATCCTCGTTGATTTAGATCATAAGCAGCTCTTCCTTTTCTGATATGTTGAATGATTTTTGCTTAAAAGCTGTACGATTTCACGTATTTATCGTTAAGACAGTGTGAGCAGCTAATTTACCATAATACATGTTCCTTGTGACTCAATATATACTTGATTTCTCGTGTTAAACTTAATTATTCGGATATGCTAGACTATCTCACCTGGCAGAATAATCATTTCAAAGCCCAACCCTTTCAGGGCCCGAAGGAGCTAACCTCTTCATCTACCATCTGCCTCAAGAGTTTACCGATTCAGACCTGTTTCAAACATTTGGTCCGTTTGGTAATGTCATCTCCGCTAAAGTCTTTGTCGACAAAGTCACCAATCTTAGCAAATGCTTTGGTAAGTGACAACAATTCCATTTTAATAATACCAATCCGACCTGATTGGGTGACGGCTGTCGCGTGTCAGAAAACCATATGGCTCACCAAATATTTTGAAAAAGATCATCAAAGATTACTAAAAAATAATTCATTATCAACACTTTTTACTCTTCATCTATAAATCTTAGCTATTGCTTTAAAATTTTAATATTAAATAACAAATCTTACAGGGTTTGTGAGTTATGACAACGCCATATCAGCCCAAGCTGCCATCAACGCTATGAATGGCTTTCAGATCGGAATGAAACGACTCAAAGTTCAGCTGAAGAGAGCGAAGGACACAAGCAAGCCCTACTAGACATGAAAGTCAGATAATCCCTTTACAGTATGATGATGAATAGCTGCAGCAAGTGATGAGCTTGCCCAGGGACTTGCGCTGTTGAGCCGCGTGTGATCTGTAGCACGTGTTGTGTGACGTCACGTGTTGTGTGACGTCACGTGACGCGCAGTAAGCGACGTCACGTGAGAATGAGCACGTAATGACGCGGCTAGATAGTAGGACTACAACAGATTTATTTTTGTAGCCCCAAACGCAATAAGAAACTTGCGAAGACTATGTGGATAAATCTCATGATGATAATTATATGATCTTAAAATTTAATTCAGAAGTGATTAGATTTAAACGATAATAATTATATATTATATAGGCTCTCATAAGATTTTTAGATTATGATATGCAATTTTATGATACATTTATCGAATTGAAATTTTTAAAAGCTTTTCAAGCGTGTGTATGCGTAACTCTCGTGTCGAGTTATGTTCGGTATTCCATGTTAAGATTATTTTTCAATGGTAAATCTTGTAAATAGCGAAAAGTATATTATAAAAAGTGAGATTTTTAAGGTTTCTTATTATGCTAGTGAATTGTTTATTGATATTGTTTACTGAATCAGTCTCTTAGGAGCCATTAGATTTATTAGGGAACGTGTCGTAGAATGTTTTACCGCAAAATTTCACATTGCTCCTCTACGTTTATTTCCACCGTTCATTCACTCTCGCTCAAGATAAGGACCTTGTTTGTTTACAGTAACTTAAGCTTCATACATACTCACCGAGCCCTCTTAAAGATTTTTGTTTCAAGTACGTCAATGATAAGAAGTTAACATATTTGAGACCGTTATGATATATTTATTAGTTTAAGAAGGAAGCAAGTAATATAATTTCACGGATCCGCCACCCGTTTCCATTGCAAGAAACTTAATATTTTGTTCCCACAGTATTTGTCACGAGAATTCTCTCTTGCAATAACCGGGTGGCAGGTTGCAACTGTTGAGTATATGATAAGCTTCTCAATGAGATATGAGCCATTTCCACGAGAATAAAATGTTTATAACTTAACGGCGGTTTTTATTTATAATATTTATTAAACTAGAGTAACTTGTACGCAGAATTTTATCGTCAGGGCACATTTTTTCATTAGGTTAAATTTTTATAATACATCATTAGGCGGAAACTTCTCGGTATCTGAATCCTAATTGAATAACTGATCGCAGTTAATAACTGTATCAGTATTCTTCCTGTTTAACCGAGGTAATGATACTAGGAACCTCTCTAATTTTTAATCATCCTAACAATCGTTGCCCTGACGATAAACTCCAAGTTACATTGGGTTGTGTCCTGTATCGAGATTGTGAGGTGAACTTTTTATCTTTCTTGTCCAGAGTATATCATGCGGAGATCTTTTCAGTGTGAGATGCGTGATCAGGTGATTACATTATGTGTGACCAGGTGATTACATTATGTGTGATCATGAGATTACATTATGTGTGACCATGTGATTACATTATGTGTGATCATGAGATTACATTATGTGTGATCAGGTGATTACATTATGTGTGATCATGTGATTACATTATATGTGATCAGGTGATTACATTATGTGTGATCATGAGATTACATTATGTGTGACCATGTGATTACATTATGTGTGATCATGAGATTACATTATGTGTGATCAGGTGATTACATTATGTGTGATCAGGTGATTACATTATGTGTGATCATGTGATTACGTTATGTGTGATCAGGTGATTACATTATGTGTGATCAGGTGATTACATTATGTGTGATCAGGTGATTACATTATGTGTGATCATGTGATTACATTCTGTGTGATCATGTGATTACATATTGTGTGATCATGTGATTACATTCTGTGTGATCATGTGATTACATTCTGTGTGATCAGGTGATTACATTATGTGTGATCAGGTGATTACATTCTGTGTGATCATGTGATTACATTCTGTGTGATCATGTGATTACATTCTGTGTGATCATGTGATTACATTCTGTGTGATCATGTGATTACATTTTGTGTGATCATGTGATTACATTCTGTGTGATCAGGTAATTACATTCTGTGTGATCATGTGATTACATTCTGTGTGATCATGTGATTACATTCTGTGTGATCAGGTGATTACATTATGTGTGATCATGTGATTACATTATGTGTGACCATGTGATTACATTATGTGTGATTACATTATGTGTGATCATGTGATTACATTATGTGTGATCAGGTGATTACATTATGTGTGATCAGGTGATTACATTATGTCTGATCATGTTATCACGCTCTTCTTCCCCTGACCGCGTTAAAGGTCGCGACTAAAAGATTTTCAGTTGGATCGTATGTAAATTTAGTCTTATAACTGTAAGGCATGATTGTCATGCGATCCGTGAAAACGTACTTCCAATCTTTTAGCCGCAACCGACAGTTCTGATCGTTGATCACACTCGCCTATGAGTTGCGTGCTTCCTACCCTGATTACAACCAACTTGATCTAAAAAACCAGACCTGCTTTATAACTAGACATAAGCTAGTTGCTGTATAGACATCATTTTGTAATAGCGTAACGTCAATTGCATTACAATCATGTAAACGAATAGACAAATATTTGAACACCTTCGTGGGCATTATTATTGAACTTAACACAAATCCGTTAAGGCATAAAGGACCAAATCCTAAATGCTGAAACTGTTGAATAATTTGGCTGATAAAATTTAGTTCCGTCACGTTTTTGGTTGTGATCAGGTGATAGAACCCTCAACTTATTAGCGATCAACTGTTGTTAACAGAATAAATTATTCTAAGATTGTTCCGCTTCAGAAATCATCCCAAAACTCTTAGATTTGTTAAATTGTGGCAGTCAAAATTAATATTTCAGTAATTTTTGCCAATACGTTATCTTTGAAAGAATTGTCATGTTTTCCAGCAGGCATTTAAAAGTTCTGTGGATCATATTATCTAATGAGACTCGTGTCTCTTCTGACGAGACTCGTGTCTCTTCTGACGAGACCCTTGTCAATGTTTCCTTGTCCGCTAAGTGTCAGCTGAGTTCATGTCAAATTTTCTGCTATCGCCGCCCAATAACAAAGTGCGATACCAGTTTCCAGCTTGAGTTACAGCCAGGGGAATGTCTTTATTTCCTCACGATTCAACCAAATATCTCTGACTAACCGGTACTGACAATGTTTATTGAGGGGCGCAGATAGCACGCTATATTTAAACCGGGGTGTGTGGATGTGTTTCATGTAATTTTAAAACTGTGATCGTTGCTATAGTGACCGTGTTCTGTCGTGGGGGTACTACGTGTAGTGTGGCGTGTTGACCTATTTAACTGAGCTTTATTGTTTTATCTTGGAATACACTTTCTTAACACTGATGATGATGATATAAACTTCACTAAACATAATATACATTGTTGTATGAGCCTGGGTAAAATGCCATGATTTGTTTATATTTTTGAAAATACTTCTAGATAGATGTGCTAGATTGGTGGACTGAGTCTGCCACTTGGTAAATATTTGGTAGTTTAAATGAGTAATATATGATATTGAGGCTTGGAATTATGTGCATATTGTATATGTGCAGACCTTTATGTGTTTAGCAGACTAAAATCTACGTGATTTTCACTTCTCTCCAGAAAAGAGGTCCAGAATTGAGTTCCACAAAAAACACTTCTCACAAGTCCAGTTGTTTCTTCAACTTTTCCAGTCACCTGACAGCGCTATTAAATTAACTCTTCTATAACTTTTGGTGAGCTCATTTCTGGACGTCCAAAAATGTTTCCTAAATCAGGCGAAAATGTAATACCAGGGATAAAATTACTCAGATAAGGAGCTAGATAAGCCACGTGGCACTATGTACAATGCATGACTCGCAAGTGATAACTTGATAAATATATAACTTGATAAAGGAGTCATTTGATCTGGACCTGTCAGTTGAAATACCACAATTATTACCCTCAAAACAGTACTGGCAGTATCGGAAGTACCACAGACAGGGCACCCTGTAATGTCAGAATGGGAGGAGGAACTTTCAATTTTCATATCTCTGTGGAGATAACAAGGAGGTCGGTGTTGATTACAGGAAAAGTTGGTCTTGAGTTTCCATGAAAGCTGCAGATTGTGTCCATGGAATGTGCTCCTTATCAGACTTGCTTGTGGCTAGGCTGGTGCTTTTAGATTTTTAGGCGTACTACTTAAAATTAAATGTGGCGATTGCAAACCCAATTGTTGACGTCTCTACAGCAGCCTTCCAAACTATGAACTAGATTTGTGAAAGCATCCCTCGAATGTTAATGATAGCCTGAGTTTATAAGCAATAACTATAAGTATTTAAAAATACTCACAATTTGAAAAATGGGTAGATTCTAAAAGCCAATAAAGTTAATCACAGATAGTTTTAGTATAAAATAGACACTTTCCCCAACAATGATTCATCTCCTCCAAGTGCAATTGTAAATATCAGTAAATAGCGTGACACCAATTATCATTTGTATTTACTGTTATAACCTTGGTCTGGCAGTTACTGTCTGTCGCAATGGTCAATAATTATGGTTAAATTGATTCTTACAGTTCTTAATAAATATATGTCCTGGTCGAACTTTCCTTATTTTCATCAAAATGAATAGTACTAGTAGAACTGCAACGATGGTTCATGATCGTTGTTTTTCGTCAAAACTTTTACTAAGATGGGCACGTATATGGCATGGTATTAAAATTTAAAATATAAAGACTCGCTCGATATAAAAACGACGTTACGTCCGCAGTCCGTGGTTAAATTGTTTCCGTCAGAACCCATATCAGAATGACAACATATAATATTAATTGATTCATGATTATGCTTATCTTCATCGCGAGTTAAATGGAGAACTCAGACAAGTGATTAAAAACAAATTACTGCAGAAAGCGGTTAAGTTTAACCGGAGCTCAGGACTCCGATCAACTAATACTATGACAATTTATGGTTCTTATGACTTTTATTTATTTTGACGGGAAAAGTCTAACGTCTCTTTCCATTGAAAAGCACGTTTCAGATTGATCAAGAAAGGGGCGTGTCAGGGACCTCACAGTCCCTAGTGACGTTCTCTAGTTGATTTGTGGCGTTCTCCAGCTGATTTGTGGATCCTTGCAGACTCTCAGCCGTTCGGATGAGTCTCTGGGTCGTAGCCAGGATGTCGGATGTGTTAGTTTCGCTTCCTGTGGCGGTCAGGCACCTTGCTGGCACTCTCCACACTCTCGTATCAATTTCTTCTGAGGCCCCCGTATCCATCAACAAATTGTGCTGAAATAAGTATGAATATCATGACTATTGTGAACAGCTGGTTAAATTAGTGACAAGAGTAAGTGCATACTTATTCATAGTTAGTCTGACAAATGAAAGATTTCTTCCATTTTTAAGGAACATTGCATATTTTGACGCGCGCGCTTAATTAATGTCAGAGTGAGCGCTGTAATAGACGCTTTTGTCAGAGATGTGCTAATGCGCGTTACAGACTTGCGACACAATTAATTTGAATTTTCGTTTTTTCTTCGAAGAATGAGGCGCATACGGCAATACAGTGAATACACCTTTGTTATTAAACATTAGCTACTTCATAAATATCCGCTTCTCATGCGCTAGCAAAGTTCAAAAGCTAACTGTTTGATCACGTTATGCATCGTATGGGACATTACCGACTATTAGTTGAAATCTTTAATTTTTTCCGCAATAATGCAAATTTTAAACAACCAATAAGTGCTAAATTCTAAACACTATTCAGTGAACTCGTGCGAGGTAAAGGTATTGTTTATTACAAACACAATACCTGAGGACAAGATATGATCCGTTGCCGCTCCTGTCCGGAGATATTCCAGTAGTGTTTCAAAGTAGGAGCACCCGCTTTCTGGTTTCTCAGCCCCTGTGAGCTGTTCAACTTGGCAAATGTCCAGTCGTCTTCATAGGAGATACTCCCTCCTCCTACCTCACGCTCTGGTACCTGACAAATGTGTAAATGTGGTTGCTTGTTCTCAAATGACTTGTTTAAAGTACGAAAACAACTGCTCGGTATTTTTAATTTATTTCTTAATCTTACTATGAGCCTTTTAAGTTTTGATATTAATATTGATGAGCCGTATTTCTGTTGCATAACATTTTTCATCACTCGACTTGACCATCAACATGTAATAATACAATAGGACTGACTCTAAAGTATATTTTATTCATGTAGTTTTGTGAAATTATATTTGATAAACCAAAAGTTCAATACTATCATATTCTAATTACAAGAGCCCAGTCACTGATAAGGGCTTTTGAAAAGAAGAATTTGCTACAAATGGGGAAAACTATGAAGATGTTTTCTAGCCGGTTGAAAATAACAAAAGCAATTATTTCTGTGCATTTTAAAATAAGATCACATTTTACTGTGTCGATAAAACCTCATAACATGTTAGAATATGCGAATACTGATCAACTATTAAAATATAAATTCGCAGGAAAAGCTCGGCCCTTGGTCAGTGAATACTACGAATAGTATTCAGTTGTATCATTCATCAGATCAGTTACCCAAGGCCTAAAAACACCGTCCTCCATAGTAATGTTAGCAAACTTTCTGTGTTCAACGGATATCATGTTATCCAGATAACCCTGTCTCTTACGAAGGAGATAAGTCACAATATCTGGATACTGCTCCGCTACATTGTGCTCCTCCCTCTCATCAGAGGAGAGATCAAATAGAAGTGTTCCTGATCCAACAGATCTCTGTTGTGAGTCTCCCTGACTGTCGGTAAAGTTCAGATATCCCTCCGCTTTGTTTTCAGAACTCCACCCCTGCAATTGAAATGTGCGTCCAGCGAGTAGCTTCCATTTTTGCCACCGCAAGGCAAAGAAATCGTGATCTTGTGAGTTTGAATGGTTAAAATTTGGTGAGTTTAAATGATTTCCTTCTTGGGACTGAAGGCTGGATAATCCTAAACATTCCTCGCAAGGATTGTTCAAGTATTTGGAGGGTACCCTCAGATTTAAAAGAACCTCCTCTCTACAAGATGTATTGCTATCAATAGATCCCCAAATATCCACTCCGTCTATCGGAAGCTGTGTTTTGTCATGTTTCTCAGGATTATCGTTAGTTAGTTTCTGGAATGTAGCATACCAATCGGTCACGTGATGCAGGTTGGTATTTGTGTATCCGGTCTTTTGTAGAAGTGGGCTGTTTACAAAGGTTACCCCCCTAACTCCTCCTTCAAGGACAGTACCTTTCCCTCCTCTGAGAGGGTAATTACTTCCATGGCTAGAAAACCTGGCTCCGTTATCAGACGTAAATACTAAAATAGTGTTGTTCATCATTCCCTGTTCTTTTAGTTTATTAGCAACCATCCCGATACCTTCATCCATGATAGATACCATTGTGGCATATCTTCTTGTGTAGTTTTGGTTTAAATCTGAGGTAAACGTCTCCATGTCTTCCACAGAGGCCTGGTCTGGTCCATGGGGTGCAGTGTATGCTAAGTAAAGAAAAAGAGGCCGAGTTTTGTCGTGGTTTCGGATCAATTCTACGGATCTATTTGTAAACAAATAGGTGTTGTAACGATCATCTAAATCGTCTCTAATATCGTCCACAAAATGACCGTGTGCATCATAATAATCCTCTCTGAAATCCAACCAATCCTGATGTCGGTGTGAGTAATAATCTTGAGCGCCCTGAAACAATCCAAAGAATGTGTGAAAGCCTCGCTTGGCAGGTGTATGGTCCCAACTGTAAGCTCCACAGTGCCACTTCCCTACACCGTGTGTGATATACCCATTCCTCTTTAACATCTCGGGGAGGAGGATCTCGTTTAAACCCAGCCCAAACTTTTCAACTGAATTGAGGTTACCCTTCCAGAAGCCAGTTCTAATTGGGTACCTACCGGTCATGAGGGAGGCACGTGTTGGAGCACACACTGACATTACGTAGTGGTTCTCTAGAATCACACCCTCCCTGGCCAGTCTGTCTATGTTGGGAGTACGAATGTTTGATCCTCTGAACCCTACGTCTTGGTATCCCATGTCATCAGCCACAATAAACACAATGTTGGGTTGTTTCGGAGTGGAGCTGTTAGATAGGGCGTGTAGTCCTAACAACAGCCACAACAACTTCATTACCACACTGCTTCTTTCCTCATTGCATATCTGATAAATTATTCTTGTGTTGACGTAGATCTCCTAACAAGTCTTGGAGGACATTAAATTGGATTTTCAAAACATTTTATATTTATATTTTGAATAAACAAGCCCCCTGATAACTCGAGAGTCGAGGTGTTCTTAAATTTAAAATGAACACCACCTATTGAATATATTAAATTGCATCAGTCACCTTATGATCAGTTACCTGATGAATTAAATTACGTTAAAAAACAAAACAAACGTTAATGTTATCTATAAGAGAGAAAGCCACGAATATAATAACATGTTTATTGACGAACTAAAGATCTTAAGCAAAGATGGCTAATGATTTTAGTTGACTGTTTTCTAATCGTTTCCCATGCGTTCGCTGTTCATCAACAGCGAACGCATAGAAAGATGTGGGTCGCTTAATAATATGTGATACGTTTACATTACACTGCAAAATATAGTTAATAAGTTAATAATATAAATAGTTAATAGCACTATGTTTAGTGTTTACAGTACGCACTGAAGGGGTATCCTAGGAAGTTTCTTGAACTTTTAACAGATACCCCTCCTCATTTAACCCTCAATTAAGTTTCCAATCATTCGGCTGAGTCGACCGAGGAGATCGCATAGATCCAATGGATCCTTAGCTACTCCCTAGACTAGGTGAATCCTCTACAAACAAGTTAATTACTCATTGTCCTTATCCCTCCAAACCCCCCTCCTCGCTAGTAGTGTAACTATAGTAACCTCACGGCACTTCGTCTCTCCCTGTATTTAGGAGTGTAGGCGTGGCAAGCCTGGTAATTAAGATGCAATCCGATACTTACAACTGCCAACTGGGGTCCTCTATAAGGTCTATTATAATGGTCATGATTTACGATCATTCTTAGTTGCATGTTTTTGCAAGCGGAGATGGAAAACTCACTCTAAACCCTAAATTTACCCGGTATACCTATCTACATACCTGAAGTTATTAAATTCTAAATGCCATTTTTAATCGAAACAATTTTTCATATTTTCGTTTTAAAAGATTCTCTCTTACGTGATTCCCTGACTACCCGAGCAATTTATAGACACTCCCTTTTCTGTTTTTTAGCTACAACAGGTTCAGGTGGATTGAGAGAGAAAAGAGCTAAAAACGATTGCAAATTTTGAAGGCAAAAGTAAACGTAAGCATCAAGGAGTGATAAAGTAGTTTAATTTAACGGCGAAATGACTAAATCTAACTCATAGAACGTTGAGCGGTTAAGAGCCAGATGTTAAATTTGTTCTGAACAATATTTTCTACAATTTATCTTCACTCTCCCGAGGTTATGATCATCATTAAATACTAATGACTAGATTCGTGCAACACTCTTGTGATAACGAGTACAGATGTGGAGACTCGCAAATGGGCCACATGAATCTGTAGAGTTAAGTTGTTATAAGTTCTGTTTTCTTCATCAGACAGATATTGCATAAATTCATACATTTATCATAATTATGTCCTTATTTAATATTTTATCAGACCACTGCGCCTCATCACTAATCATTACCCCATATAATTATAAATGAAGACATCGGTTCTCTTTAATTTATGATAAAACGAGTATAGTTTCTGGCCCACATAACATGCGATCGACTAATGAAGCAAAATAACAGACCTATTTTAGATTGGTAATGTTCAACAAATAATGCTACCCATTTGTCAACCGCCAGATTCGCGAAAACTGTCTTAAAGCTAACAAGTTCATTCGCTAGTTTTGATATATTATTATTATTATTAATCAACTATATACAGCAAACACAAGATAATATAAATTAAATCATAAAATCGAGTGGCCGAGTAGTCTCGACTCACCCATAACTTCTCCAAAGGCGTCTATCATGAGCTTTGTACACTAAATCGTTGAAATTACTTAAACTAAATCTTTTATTTACAATCACAATAATTTGTTTTGTCATAATGTCTTTTAATAATAAATCAAATAAATTTGAACGAGGTCTGCCCCTCCTTCCTTTGTAGTCAAAACATCCTAAACATGCAAATCTGAAAGATAAGAAGGCGGGAGTGTCATCACCGCTTCTGAGAACGTGCCCAAGCATCTTCCATCTTGCTTTCTTGATCCTTTCAGTAAGGGGTCTGACTTTACATCTCTTATATAAATTCTCGTTGCTGATAACCGTTGGCCAATAGGTGTTGATTATCTGTCTCAGATGCTTCCTTTGAAGAACGTCGACAGATGCCATTACGGTTTCAGGAGCAGCCCAGCTGCTACAGTTATACAACAACACTGAAGTGACAAGAGCTTCGTACAGCTTCAGCTTTCTACTCTCACTGATCTGAACAGAACTATTCAACCAGACTTTCTTGTAGGTGTAGAAGGCAACATTGGCTTTGTTGCGTCTGTTGACAATATCTCTTTCTGAACAGAGCTTTGATCCTAATAGCACTGACTCTCGCCACTCTTCATCTCCTCTAATTTTATTGCCATGGGCATCTAAAGCATCTGTATCTGCCAAATACACTCTTGTAAACACCGTCTTTGATTCGTTAACAAAACAAAGAGACTCCAATCCTTTAGTATATTGTTTTGATATATATTATATAATTGCATAAAATAGTCAGAGTTCTGACAATGACCATTACCATGACATGACAATTGGATGTATGTTTTAAATCTATTTAAATGCCAGGAATAGGCACGACAAAACTTTGCTCAGAGGTCGATCGTTGACCTACATTTCCCACACATTATCAGGTTCCCAACCAGTGACCTGATCTGATTCGTCATGTCAGATTTTCAAGACGACAGTTGTGCCCAAGGCCAAGGATCACTTGACATTATGTGACCTTGCAGAGGGATGTGACAATGTTAAGTGATTGTTAGTTGCAACCTTTTTGCTTTTACAGCATCAAACTTTGTATTTCTCGCTCCTCACCAGTTTTTATGTGTGTTTCTCGAGCGACATTCCATTGTATAACGTACTTACTCAATGGTATTTATTAATTTGTACAGAGAGCGGCTGACAGTAAGCTGATTTTTGAGATTATTCGCTGCGTCAAATTAATTGGGCCTGTCAAGTGGGCATTGTTGTTGTATAACTTGAATATGCATTGTGCACCGGATTAATCTGAACTTGATAAAAACAATCTGGCACTTAGAGTGAGTCATCTCAAAACGTTAGAATTTGTTAAACATGCAGAGTAAGACTATCTTTCTTGTGAGGGAAAAATAGCAATCATACGAAAGCTTCTGTTGATAATTTATTCAGCATTTCAACCAAAAAGTTTAATAAAATTTACTGAATTGAGTGCTGATCACAGAGTACAGCACCAGAACATGCTTGATAATAGTTATATTGCTAGCTTATGTTGGAAACCGCTACTAACGATATCTCAGACAATACATGGCGAGTTTTGAACTTTTGAGATGTATGATCTTAGGACGATCGGATAGCTGCTAAATTGGCAAAAGATCAGCAAATAATTTGGATTATGGTAATTTATATGACAATTACGTTTAGAGGAACCCACGTGTAAAAACTTTCACGTGTAAAAAATGTAATTTATATTACGTTTCTTTTGTAAACATCATCCATCACCTATTACAGCTCACCAGGTTGAGAGAAGATACAAATTTTATCTCCAATTTTTCATATTTTTATCGGCTAAAATCGGTTATTATAAACCGGCTACCTTATCCGGAAACTATAATATATAGTTGTTGTAAAAGCTCTTATTCACAACAACAATTACAAGAGACCTCTGTTTGCCACAAATAGAAACCTTTACTACCACAAATCACCTAACTGCTGCAATTATAGAGTAGTCTATAAATAATACTGTTATTAACAGTACAGTAGACATGTCAGTAATTACTTGATCTCACACGTGTGTTACTAATTACTAATTACTAATTACTAATTACTAATTACCTTGTGTTTCAGGTTCAAGGTTATTTACCTGTTGTTTCGCTTTGTGCCGTTCTGTGTGTCTTACTACCGGTAGTCTGATCTGAATCTTCTTATTTCCCCTTGTCTCTTCCTCTTCTTTTACCCCTTTCTCAGACTGAAAATAAATATTGCATCGTATTATCAGCAATTCAACTCATAGTGCAAGTGGTCATGCCTCGTTATATTTAGTCGTTACTCATAGTCATGTTTGAAATTTGTGTCATTTAAGTAAGTAAGTAAGTAAGTAAGTAAGTAAGTAAGTAAGTAAGTAAGTGAGTAAGTAAGTAAGTAAGTAAGTAAGTAAGTAAGTGAGTAAGTGAGTAAGTAAGTAAGTAAGTAAGTAAGTAAGTAAGTAAGTAAGTAAGTAAGTAAGTAAGTAAGTAAGTGAGTAAGTGAGTAAGTAAGTAAGTAAGTAAGTAAGTAAGTAAATAAGTAAGTAAGTAAGTAAGTAAGTAAGTAAGTAAGTAAGTAAGTAAGTAAGTAAGTAAGTAAGTAAGTAAGTAAGTAAGTAAGTAAGTAAGTAAGTAAGTAAGTAAGTAAGTAAGTAAGTAAGTTGGTTACCTTGGAGAAGTATTTCTGACACAGTTCAGGGAGAGCTGGCATACGTCGGGCGCTGTATTTGTCACGAGGAAACGGAACACACGTCTTTAGGGATCCAGTACTCTGTGGGAACTTGAGGGGAGAGTTTAGATCTTAATGACACAAAGTTTAGAGTTTAGAGTTTAGAGTTTAGAGTCTAATGATAAAAAGTTTAGAGTTTAGAGTTTAGAGTTTAGAGTTTAGAGTTTAGAGTCTAATGATAAAAGTTTAGAGTTTAGAGTTTAGAGTTTAGAGTTTAGAGTTTAGAGTCTAATGATAAAAAGTTTAGAGTTTAGAGTTTAGAGTTTAATGATAAAAAGTTTAGAGTTTCTAGAAAGTTTAGAACTTAATGATAGAAAGTCCAGGGAGTATAGAGATTAGGTGATAGTTAATATATGAAAGACGGACATCGGGACAATTTGTATCGGCACTCTCAGACCTTACACATCTTATCTTTAATACCGGGAGGGCAAAGCTATTACATAGTGTCCAATATTCAATTGCTTCGTAAATAATTCATAATTATTCATAGTATTAGTTACTTCATAAATATTCAATTGCTTCGTTATCATTGAGGAGATTAGTGAGGATAACCGTTAGATTGTGTACCTCTACCTACCTACCGTCCCTCGTGTTACAGCGTACAGTTTCTTACACCAGAAACATGGTTAATATTGCTGTTCCCAACATTTATCAGTATTATATCTCATTTTATAAATACTGGTTTGTTCTTCAGTGACTTTTGGCTACAATTACTATCAGGTGAAATTATTTGCGTATACAGAAGTACTTTGATCATCGATTGTTTTAGACTAACTCAACAGGCATTCTCGCTACCTTCACAGTTCGCAAACAAGGCGGCTGGATTGGATAATTTGCTGACTCTAAGCTATTCACTGTAATTGTACAGAAAATTGTAAGGAAGGAGGTCACACCACTGTTAGAATACTCATGTTTTCAACTGTCCCAAATTATAAAGTATCACACTACTGATGTGTGAGAGAGCTGGTCCAGTAACTCAGTGAGAAAGTACAGCTTTAGTATCACGTACAATACCTACAGCTTTAGTATCACGTACAATACCTGATAAAAACCTCTCGTTCCAAGTTAGTTATCATCAGTAGTCTAATGTGATGATCGTGCATTATTTGATTTGATAATTGTTTTAACCTACTAAGCCTCAGGGGCACACCATGGCTGTTTTTTTAACCAGCCAAACCAACAATCTCCTACAATACCCCTCAGAACACTGCATTTCCTTACATCTCGTTAAATAATCCTTACATTACCTCTAACATGACGCTCAACTAATCGTCTGTGATTATCTCCATGCTCGAATCAATCACATCACCCGTACATCTACCCGTACATCTACCCGTACTTCTAACTGTACATCTACCGCTTAGTTCTTCCTGCTTCAGCTCCAGATGTCACATTCTAAACTGTAATTACACTTTCAATCATATGATTACCGCACTTCACGGACATGGTTTTCTTATAAGTTGTTTTACGTGCCTCATTAAGCTTGTATTTTAAAACTTGTCCTTGTACTGCATTTAATATTTTACTGCTCCAAAGCTTTGCTGATAAAGTGCTCCATGGTGGTGAAATAATTCGCAAAGATTCTCTCTTTACCAGGTAAGAACACTAGAACAGTTAATGCTGAGAATGGTAATCCCACGTGGGTGATAATAAGCGTCACCATCTGACTATCATGATCTAACGCGCTATTATATCATCTGATATATAGATTCTCAGTGGCTGTAAGCAAGGTATCATGGGTTATAAATATTCTGATCAAGGTACCAGGTGGTCAAATGCAAATCCGTTTAATTCAACTGTAGAGGAGCCTGTTGAAGCGGATGGTTGATTTAGTGACATGCATGAAGTGTCTCATTGATAGATAACTTTTCTATGTCAGATATTGTCAAGTTGGATGTATCAATTATTACAGTTACCAGGCTTTTTTATCACATTTATAAATGGGGATTTTGGTGGGGAGGTAGTCACGTGTTCACTGTTCAGCATGGTTCAGAGAAATTGCCGAGCTATGAATAATAACAATGTTCACATAGGGCCAAATACACAATCAGGAGAGTAAACAAACGATGTTGATATGCGTCTGCTCGCTGCTCCTGCTCGTGATTGGACGGATCAATTGACATAGCACCTCGGTCCTCGATTACTATTGGTCGGTCGGGATGGGGCCCTTCAGACTATAATTCAGTTGTTATTATGATTGTTTCGTGGTGTTGGTTACCTGCTTTGTGTTTCTTTTGACTTTGCTATCGTAATTCGTACTCTGGTCGTCACTCTTGCAATAAACGTATTGCAACATATCGATCTATACGTCATCCCAGCAATAATCTACACAACCTTGATCAGCCTTATTACTTATGCTCACGACTGACTACCGTCCTTTTACCCATTAATTCCCAGCGGTTATATAATATGCAGCCTCAAGATGGTACGTCCAACATCCTTGCTTATCTTTTGCTATTTCTAATCCGACTGTAGTTCTCTATTCATTCTTATTGATTGGTAACGTTTCAGAGCTGCCCGTTTTTGTGAACTCTAACAAAAAGGTGGTAATCCAATCTTGTGATATTTCAGAGTTGTTAATCAGTGGCTATAACATCTGCCGGACTCGCTCACTAAGACTTCTAATAAGCGGTGGCAAATGGTGACTGCCTTATTGTTCTCTTTAAAATCTTTAATCTGTACTACTCGCTGTTTAGTGTATAATTTAAAAAGCTTCTGCGGTCTTAGTTTGTAGCCTTTGTAGGTTATAATGACAGCTATGTCTGAGAAGTGGGATATCTTACTGAATAGTAATGCCCCAAAGTTAGATTTTCCACGTGAGAGACATAAGTCAAATCTGATTACATAAGTGAGGGACAACTTTAAATCGATTCTACGAGCAAAAATACGTTAAGTAAAGTAAGTTAAAGTTCTAGCGTAAAGCGTTTCGAGTGGATATACTGCGATGCGCTCTATTATTATTATCAGAGAGTTTCAACCACCAATTCTAATTCCTTCTCCTGTAGTTTTTGGCGAAGGGTTGGTGTCAGAATCAGGATGATTTATTATATATTCGGTCCAGGCCTCAGCCTAATAATCTATTGTCGAAGTTTTAACTGATATTAACCAGGTGTTCATAAAATAAGCTGTTTCTTAAAATCTGGTCAAAGAAGCCGCCGCCTATATAGAGTATAAAATATAGACTTTGTACCTCAATCTTATGTTCTTCAGCCAGACAACATACAATTACCTGTTAAAATCACTAGTAGTAGTACAACATAATATCGGAATCTAATGAAAAGTTCACTGGTTCATAGTAATTGACACATTGTAGGATTTTAAAATAAATTAATCTGACAGGTAAGCATGGTAACTAACACTACAGATCCTGTGTCCAACTATCTGCAACCACCCTCCCCTCAAGCAGATACTATCCTCCTATTCATCTACTTTCTTAACCTCATAATTGGACTGCCAGGTAACTTGCTTCTAATTCGTTCCTATTTACATTTTCTAAATGGGGAGGGGGCGCTAAAATGGGGGGCCGGGAGGGCTAAAATGGGGGCGCTATGGGCGTCTCTTACATCGTTGCTTTGCGTTGATGAGAGATTATCTATTTAGTTTTTACTTTCCTCTTCCCCAGGTAACTTGTTGGCTCTCTGCTACTTCACCACACAACCTGCTGACGTCCCTACCTTGCTCTACAGACTAATCTCCATGACAGACATCTGTATCCTCCTCAACAGTATTCCCACCTGTACCAGTCTACTTCACCACAGAGACACCATCATCTTTACAGTCCCGGGTATGTGCACCTTTCTTGGAATGTTCCAGACAATTCTCCCTGCTTTCTCGGTTGCTATAGTAACCGTCCTGTGTCTCACTCGGACTGTGCAGCTCTTCTTTCTAGTTCGCAAGCCCAATAAATTAGCCATATTTGCTGTTCTGACGGTGTATCTGGCGTATCTGATCATCTCTGAAGCTGTGCCTGTGTTTTGTGGAACTTTCAAGTTTATTTATACTAAACAAGAAGTTTATTGCTGGGACATACCGGCCCACTCTGGTCCTGAAGCCAGAACAGCAAAGTATATCGAGATAGCCATGGACTGGATATCATTCTCCATTCCTGTCATTCCCATTATAACTTGCTGCGTTGTCTCCACCACTAAAATCTGGCTAAGCAGGAGGATATGTGCCTCCAACAAGGACCTAAAATCTCGGGCAACAATAACAATCATGATATTCACAGCCGCCTACATAGTCTTCAACATTCCAATCTTCATTGTTCAGCTGCTAAGAGTCTTGCTGTTTGCTCACAATGAGGACTATCCAGGACGGTACTTCAGCAACTACTTCATGTATCAGTACGGTTGGAACCTTGCCAAGATGCTGCTTCCAACAGTGAACTCAGCTGTCAATCCTATAATTTATTTCACCAGGATGTTTAAATTCAGGAGGTGGATGTTGGGGTTGCTTGAAAGAAGGGTCTTACAATCAGAATGTACTAATATTGATCCGGTGATAACAGTTTCCCGTTTGTAACGGCTAACAATACCACAGCTGTGAAAGCTTGGCCTCTAAATTTCTATATTTTATCAGTATAGATTTATTGTACATAGTATAAGCCTTTAAACGATTAGCAGCCAGTTTTCCGCGGCCGTGCTTTAAGTGTGTTATACTGGTATACAGTGTTTTGACTCCCATAGTGTTATAGTGTGAATCGACTCCCCACTGCAAGCCCTGTAATGCAAATGGTCTGAAATTACTCAGCCACAGGTTAGCTCACGTTCATTATAATAATTAGTGTTACTACAGTTAGTGACTTTTAGTAACTGGTAGTGACTTTTAGTAACTGTTAGTGACTTTTAGTAACTGTTAGTGACTTTTAGTAACTGTTAGTAACTGTTAGTGACTATTAGTGACTGTTTATTTACAGTACTTTGCAATTTCATTCTATTTACTTCATGACAATAACGGTCCAATGTTCTGAGAAAACCAATTTAATAAACAGAAAAACACTAGCTTTATCATTAAATGTCAGTGCTAGCTTGAAGCTTGACATGCTGACCAGTTGACAATTCTAGATTGATTGTTGAGTTGAAAGTGATCACAAATTCGCCTCCTGCAGAGAGCTAATTTGCTGATGGTGTTTATGTGAAAATAACCACTTTCTCAGAGAAAGAGAGAGAGATGCAGGCTGATTAATGATTATAGGTACTCTCAGTGGTGCAGTACTCACAGAGGTGCTACTAAACATTTATTCTAGTAGTTACACGGAACTTTATCGAGACTTCTAAAAGTATTTATCATAATGTGCATTTGACTTTTGGGCATATTATTTTGCTCCATTTATTGTACAGTGTCATTTTATAAATATTATCTTATGACTGGTTAGAATTTATTGGCAAATAAATTTTAAGAGTGCGTCCTGGCTCCTATTCGTGAGTCTTTCAATGTAGAGCCACAAAAATTATCTAAATGCTTAAGTAAAGATGAAACAGCAGCCAAGTGAACTTATTCATTTTCATAAAGCGTTTATATGATGGTACATGATGAACTGTTGAAGTGACATGCACTTTTTAAAACGAAATATTTTAACGGCTGTATCGTACCGAGTGCACTTTCTATCGATTTGACTATTTGATGTTTCAAATGTTTTAAAAATCCAATTTAAATAATGTGCAAGCAGTGATTCATAATTGTCGGCCACTGTCGACTCAGTTCAATCTACTTGACGTGTGCAAACTACATGGTAGTGAGCAAGTGGGTAATTCACTCTGAAGAATAAAGTGCTATTCTCATCATCTTGTGCCAGGCTGTATAGCACAATTTAACTGAATTTAAACTAAATACTAAATCTAATTTGATAGTGCTGGCACAGCAAAGAAAATGCATGTTCTATCATCGTCATGGCAACAGTGCATTTTCAGATCATTGATTAAATGTAGGTATTCAAGTTTCTAGCGACTTGCTAGTAAACTTAAGACAGTTAAATCAACTGAAGAAGACGTAGTTACGTGGAATGATTATTTCAATTCAATAAAGTTTCTAGCCTAAAGTCTGCTGCTTCAATTTGTTCGCAAGTTAAGAGTCTAAAGAGAAATTCTCCAAGAGAAATGAAGTTAAATCAATGTAATGTAAAATGCTGAAATATGAGAATATTCTCGATTCCACACGATGTAACTCGTCATTATAGTAACTCTGTTAGGCCTCAATATCTAATGTTCTTCTTCAGTCTGATGTGTATTTCTGATATAGAATAAAATGGTTAAATCTGTTGGAGCGGTTATCCCTCATGAGGAGCTTTATATACATGATAATATCTAGTAATGATATGAGATAATATAATAATAATAATAATAACGCTTTATTTGTATACCGCTTAGGCCGTATAAGCGACCAAAGTCCAAAAAATATAGTTCACTCATAAGGAAATGGAATTGTAATTAGTAATTATTCGGTAATCTGTTGATGCTTCGTGGGGAGGGTCGGGGCAGAATATCAATATAATCTCGGTAGTAATACTCTAGTAGCAGAGTGTAGTTGAGTCTGCACTCCGAAGTACAGAAATTTGATCACACAGGGTCCTTTTTTTAGTCATTCTGAACTAAACAAAGCTTCTGATACAACCACATTGTAGAGACACACGTAATACTTTACGTATTTGTTATTGAAGTTTAGTAAGGCACACTCCTTACTGTTGTATCAGACACGCTTCTGATACAACCAAATTGTAGAGACACACTTCTCTCCTTTTCTGATCTTGATATTGGGACATACTTCCCGATCGTTTGATACTAGTGAGTGTAGATTGACATAGTTAGGAACGCCCACTTTCTCGCCACGTAGACCACTTATAGTTATACTAGTTAGTTAACTTAGACCAGTTTACAAGATTATGCAGCAGTAACTTAATTATGATATCGAATAACGTATATATATATCCACAAAATATAATTTAGTATTTTTGTCTCTGTTGTCTCTGCTCTTTCGTGTGACTGATTTATACATTGTACGTCTCAATTCCTACCGTGGACAGGATTGTTGTTCACACAGACTCTAGTACCCTTCAGTCAATAAAGTTGCTCATCAAAAAAGTTAACTTGATATTATTATTGATAATAAAAGTTACCATGTACTGCACGATTAACTTACTCTCATACTTCCGACTAGTACACATACATACATTATCTTTCCACATCAAATAGTTCATTCTCTGTTTTTTTACGTTTAACGTTTGTCTCTTTATGATTACAATTTATTGACAGCCTAAGATACTTCCAAGTCAATTACGTAGCTCATCCGAAATAGGTAAATAATAAAATATAACCCTCAAAATATTTTGTGGTATTTGAGAGATGGGAAGGTCCACCATACATTTTGCTTGCACACACGAGTATTTTACCATCAGACATCATATCAATATTTGGTCATACATCCGGATCCCGATGGCATTGTCGCAGAAGCACTCTCGTGGCACTTTCGTGGCACTCTCGTGGCACTTTCGTGGCACTCTCGTGGCACTCTCGTGGCACTCTCGGGGCCAAATCTTCGTTTGAATGTGGGACAATTTTGAAATGTATCCTGCATGAATGTTATCGCAACGCCTATAAGCTGATAGCATGTATCACGTCGCCAGATCAGGATTGTAAATCACAAGGCTTCGACAAGGCTAGTAAATAAAGGGTAATGCTTTCATGACAACGTGGTTATTGTGAAATGATAATAATGAAGGTATACTGATCGTCTTATGCTTTTGAACGAACATGATTGAAAGTTGGCACTATGTCGCCCAGGGTGCCGCCATCTCGCCATAGTGCCACGACAGTGACGCCATAGTGTCACAACAGTGTCACGACAGTGCCGCGACAGTGCAATTCAGTTATATTTTCCAGAACCCTCGTCAAATTATCGCATTAAATTATTGCACGGTTAAAAATTTCTCATGGTCAATTTTTTCAGTAAAGGATATAGCTGAGAAGAGAGCTGAAATTCAGCAAAATGTTCAATTTTAATCCCGTAAAAGACAATTTTATAGCATGTGGAAAATCTGGTAAGCTTGAGTATTCAGCTTACCGTGGACGAATTGGATGTGGTAGCAGTGGGACTTTAGTGTATGAAGGCAGATTTGAAAGTCATCCTGTGGCTGTAAAGATGATTCCTAAAGAAAACTTTAAAGGCATTACTGAAAATTGATTGGATTGGGAGAGGAGATGATTAATGAGGCTAAAATTCTAAGGGAGTATGAACATAACAATGTCATACGGTACTATCTTCTTGATCATGATGATCGCCTAATATATTTGGCTCTTGAACTGTGTAAGGGAAATCTAGCAGAATGCATTGAACTTGGCAAACCCGAAAAATTACTCTCGGGAGAAGGGCGACATATCATGAAGAAGCACTTGCTGAATGGAATTCTTGATGGCTTACACTATTTACATGGGGCTGGTATCATTCACGGTGATATGAAGCCTCAGAACATCCTCCTTCAAGTCAATAAAAGTAATCAAGGCAGTGGTATTGACAAAATTAAGTATAATGCTGTTATTTCGGATTTCGGACTGAGTCTTATAATTGATCCTGGGAGAGCAAGCAAAACTGCCATAGACGATCTGATCGGAACTGATGGATGGAGACCTAAAGAGGTTGTTGAAAAACTCGAAGAGTTTTCCAAGAAAAATATTAGTGGAAGTAGACCATACATGAGCCTTGAAGGAAACATGGACAATTTGTCTCTTGATAAAGATAAAATCAAGGGGACAAAACATGTTGATATCTTTGCGTTCGGATGTATTATACAATATGTGATGAGCGAAAAGAAAGAATCAGAAGGTCCGGTTTGGTATATGCATCCATTTGGTGACGATAAATCTCGAACAATGCACATTAAAAGGGGAGTGCGAAGTGCCTACTTATCCAAAAATCCATCTAAAAATACCGAATTAGATGAAATTTTGGCTGATATGCTGATAAGTCTTTGCGTTGACAAAGATCCTCAATGTCGCCCTGCTACAAAAGAAATAATCAAACACCCTTTCTTTTGGGAGCCGTCTAAAAGATATCGGTTCATTGAAAAAGTTGCAAATGAAGTAAAGTCTCTTCCTGTCAAAGGAGAGTTACACGCTATGCTGAATGAGAAATGGAAAAAATTTCATCCGACACCTTACGGAGAAAAGATTATGAGTGCTGTTAAGTATATTGCTAAGTACAGGAAACAGAAGGTCGATCCTAACAAACATTTTTTACTCGATGCTCTTCTTAATAACATAAGGAACATCAAGCAGCACTATCCTGATATAAAGAAAGATTACGGAGATATGGATATATTAGCTGATCTAGGTGATGGCAATGAAGACGATTTTCATCGTTATTTCCTCCAACGTATTGCACAAATTCTACCGGTTGTGTATACGTGCTATTACAAGAGTCAACGAAATGAGAGGGGGGCTTACGAAGAATATTTTAACGATAAAGAGGAGGCATCCCTTATTGACAGTCGCGAAAAAATCTACTGGTTTACACTCGGCAAAATATGTTATACCCTGGACCATGATAATTCAGGCAAAGATACCCGGAAAAGAGTACGAAGCAGATCACATAGTAGTGAATGGAGAATGGAGTGAATGGAGAATATAGCAAAAAGCTGAGCATAATAAACCCTGTTTTGTCCCATCAGTTTAACCTTCCCTAATTAAGTTTCCTTTAAAACAATATGATCTATTAGATTAACTCAGATTATCAAGACTTGTGTGTTAGGATGGATGTATCTTGGTATTTAAAGTTCGTACATAGTTAGATAAATTCTTTAAAAATATACATATCTATTAATTATCACAGTTCAATATGATTGTGAACACTAAACGGATGCATGATGAATAGTTGTTTACCTTATTGACCAAATATAATTTATCTTCAAACGATTGTCACCAGACTTAAATTGAGCTTGGCAAGATCATGATGTTTCCAGATTATGTGCATTATATTATCATATTTTGGCATTATGTTATTATATTTTAGTGAATTTTAATAAATTTGTTTGTTCTGTAAAATATGCTAAAAATTTAATTTCTTGTTTCATTGAATTGTCAGCCATAGGTTTTTAATCCGTAAACATTTGCATAATATCAACAAAATAAATACTACCCACAAAATGTTGCAACTTCAGATATAAGGCTCAGAGATACACAAGAAGTTATAAAATCAACAGTCTGACCATTAAATTATGCAAGTAAAATTTTAACTGAAAACTGACGCTCAGTGGGGAGTTTTATCTAGATTGGAACAAAATGGGATTATCAACATCATTTTAGTGTTAAAGACATGTTAGAGATGTCATCAACTTGATGACTCATCAAGCAATGAACATGAATTTATCGAATAAACCGTATTTAAAATCTCACTGTTACACTTTCAAACCATGTATGAATATAAGGTCCAATGAGGTAGGACCTAGAGTAGTACATATCACAGTTGAGATATGTTTGATATTATGAAATTGAAGGACATTTATCATAATATATTACATATTAAATAATTAGTTTTATTATTGTAAAACTTACTAGATATTTGTTGCTGCGGTTAGCACATGACCTCCTCTGCTTCATAGAAGGTAAAATCTCTTGTATGATTGATACCCTCGAATACTTTGAACCTGAAATGAATTTCTATGGTTAATATATTTTTCAGCCAACAAAGATACATTTTGGAATGCTAAAATATCAACAAAACTATTTCCATAAGGGCACTTATGCAAATACAAAATACTGACAGTAATTTCAATATTATGACTATGTTAGCTGGAATTACATAAAGTTATTTTATAAAAATATCAATATACGGTCATCAAATAATGTAGAGTTTTTCAGATTTATAACGTACCTAAACTCCATATCGGTATAGATGAGTTTTTACTCATCCTTTTGTCAGCATCTTCTATCCATTTCACAAAAATTTAATAAATTCGAATCCTGTAATTCAGTCTTCTTGTGCTTGAAGCTCCCTTTCAAGGTGTCACATATCTTGGCTATTATATCAAAACTTATTATCACCAAACTTCAATGAGGGGACAGATTGAGGGAGGGGGTAATATAATTAAATCTAATCACTTCTTAGCGTTTTACCTTCCCAGAGACATCTTACATTTCCCTGAAGCCCCCTAAAAAGAGGAAACTACTAGGCCCACGGTTAAAAGTAGGTTCATTTAAATAATAGACTGGCTAAAAACAAATCCTTCGGCTTCCTGTAATTGGCTGGTTGCACTTGTGTAACAAGGAAAACAAATTTTAGGAAAACAAATTTAAATTTTGGTATTTATTAATAACAATCAAAACATATCATATCATAAAAATAAAGCCGCGCGTTGGTTGACTGCCTCAGTAAGGTGAATAATTTAAGCTTGAAGGTGCCCTGCGCATTTACAGAACCTTATGCGGCGATCACATATTCATGAGGACCTGTGAGCGCCAAATTTAATTTAAAGTTTCTAGAAATCATACATCACTACGTGTTACTCATGCTTTTGGATTATAAGAGTGCGGATTGTCAGGTATTTCATTCATTCATACTTAATCGGTTTAAAGCTGTATATTTAGAACTCACTATTGTTTAAACTACGAAAGCAGAACGTAGATAATGGACAATATACCGACGACAATACCAAGGACCCGAGTGCCGCATTGACTTTTCCGGATCCGTTTTTACCGAAGGCTTATCCACCAGTTACTCATGCTGCATGTATAGTCTGATAATATTTTGTCTTATCTCTAGCAAGCATTCTGTAAATTGAAGTGTCGTATTTATTATAGAAGAGCCAGCCAACCTCCGCATTATAATCTTTTGTGTGCCAAGTTCGTTTATAAAATCTAATCATATAATAAGATTGATCCAATAATCTAAGATGAACGGTATATCATAGCTCATCGTTATTAAAATCCGAATGGATGAATTAATCAAGTAATGTTCCCTTTCAACACAACTAAACAACAAACACATGCTTGCTCACCAGTGGTGACGCAATCGTAGGGGCATGCAGTTGGTTCAGATAACTCTCACCCCGACGATGGCGTCGAGAAATTATTAAATTATGCATTTGCGCCATACTGGACACATTTTATATTTAATATTTTGTGGTTTGTAGAAATTAGTGTTATCTACAGTATAGCTTAACTGGCGAGCAAGCATCGTCCCACTCGGCCGGGACGAAAATACCGAGTCCAATCACAGAAAGTTAACCAAAAGATAAAAATAAGAGCTCGGATATCAACAAAAATCACACACTCCAGACGACGGGGGAAGAGAGGAAAGGAAGTAAGCTGCTGGGCTCAACAAATTTTGATAATTGTAAACAAAATTGTTCTTGTGCCCTATAATAATTTGGTATTGAGGTATGACCCTGTACTGTGTGTGATAGTGAAAATGAAAATGAAAGTGAATGTGAATTTATAATGCGAACGAAATGAGTTATGGCCAAACGATTCTTTAATTTCAAAATAATAAAGTCAAAGGACTCTGTTTTAAAATACAAGCTCATTCTTATCGAAGTTTAATTCTGTCCATTCTAATTCTTCGTACCTGGACTGTATCTTGAGTAGCTCACTTTTTAGTGTTACTTTAACTAAGTTCGTTGACTTAGTAAAGCTTATCAAACTGTCAATTTTTCGACAGTCGTTCCACATTTTTGTTGATTGATAAATGAAAGAGGAGGATGGGTTCGGGGTGATGAACTGGTCTGAACGTCTTTGTGATGGTGATCTGTGGAGTAAAGATAGGAGTGAGATTGGAGATTCTAATCTGACAATTTTGAACAGTTCTAATAGACATGTGTATTTGTAGAGGTTGTGGACGGTAAGAAGGCCGTTCTTGTTAAACAACGGCTTTGTATGCTCTTTTTCAAAGAATTCCCTTCCTAGGATTTGTTCATCTATACAACGTGTTCTGGCACATGTTCTAAATTTATCTAGATATGCTTCAAGGTCACCAAATAGTATTCTGATACATTTTTTCTGAGTGATGAAGATAGGTTGAAGCATATTGTTACTCGACCCACCCCATACCGATATTCCAAATCTTAGGTGTGACTCAAATAACGTGTGGTACAATTCTTTATGGTGTTTTTTTGGGATAACGTGTCGTATTCTACTGAGTCTTCCGATCTCACACCTAAGTTTCGAGTTGAGGGCTCTTATTTGAACATCCCATTTTAGCTTTTCGTCAATAATAACACCTAAAAACTTGGTCTCTTTAACTCGCTTTATTACCGTATTATTCAGAGTTAGTATATATTCTGATTCGTTATCTGCCTCATTATCAGTAGCTGTACGTGACGGATTGAAGTGAATGTAGCAGCATTTCTTTATATTTATATGTAATAGGTTGCATTTCATGTACTGGTGTAACAAACGAAGAATTTCGTTTGCTCTTTCATACAGTTTTTTTCTACATTCATCTACTACGAATATGTTTGTGTCATCTGCAAATAGTATGAACTTGCCCAGATCAGTTGTTCTAAATAAGTCGTTAACATATATTATAAATAGCAAGGGTCCGAGACAAGAGCCTTGGGGAACTCCAAAGAGAACAGGCAGCTTGTCAGACTCTTCGCCCAGTACAGAGACATATTAATATCTGTTAGAGAGATAACTAGCGATGAGTCTATTGGCGTTTCCACGTATTCCATAGTTGTCTAGTTTATTAAGTAGTTTTTCATGTGAGATCGTGTCAAACGCTTTAGATAGATCAATAAATATTCCAAGTACATGCAGTTTTTTGCTAAGACAGGATTCTATGTAATTCACTGAGGAGTTGAGGGCATGGCTTGTGGAGTGATTTTTTCTAAATCCGTACTGGTACTCGTAAATCATTTTCTGGGACTGAAAGAAGCTATACAGTCTGTTGTAAATAATTTTTTCAAATATCTTACCAAAAACAGCTAAGGTTGATACTGGCCTATAGTTTTCCAGCAATTCCTCATTATCCTTCTTGTAGATCGGACTGATTCTCCCAGTCTTTAAATCATCTGGGAATACTCCATTCCTCATGCATTCACTGTATAATAAAGATAGTATAGGACAGATCACTTTAGACGATTCTTTAACTACATGTATTGGGATGTCGGATGACTTCCCATTCTTCAGTTCAGATATAATCATTCTAACCTCGTCAGCTGTACAGTCATTCATGAAAATACTGGACGTGTTTGCTCTAGGCAGGTAGTCATAAAAACTAGGAAGATTGTTAATAGTTAGTTCTCCAATTTCATTATATGCCCCGTTTAAAATAGACGCTAGAGAAACAAAATACTTATTAAATTCATTGGCTATTACTCTACGATTGGTTATCTTCTCATTGTTTATAGTAAACAGTGGTTTTATTTGCCGTTTCTGTTTGCCTCGTATTTGATTAATCAGTTCCCATGTCTTCTTACTATTACCGTTTGTGTCTGCAAATTTTCCCATAAAATACTTAGTTTGAACATCTTTGCGATCTTTTTTAACCATCCTTCTATAATCCTTATAAGTTTTGTATCTAGAACAATATGGCTGTTGGAATACTCCGAAGTAAAATAAGTGTCTAGATTAAAAAAATATATATAAATCAAGTGTTAGATTTCAGCCATGCAAAATTACAATGACATATTTTGATAAACTAATATCAATGTTTTAGTGCAGGGTAATACAAACATACTGTGAACTTTTCAGCAAAAACTGTTTCACTCCATGAGTTCAACACAGCAACTGAAAGTTGACACCATGACCAATAATAAACGTCCCCTCTTTTCTAGAGGCTAGAGATGACAAACCAAAATGCTTGTCATTTTGGTTTGGGGCACCCACCCCTGTAGCTGCTCAGACACCTCACAGCAATTAGACCTAAGTGACTCTTGCTTGGAAAAGGTGCATCAACTAACAACAAATCTAGGAGGCCTCAAAGCTCTTTTTCTGAGGGATGAGGTTGAAGGATGCAGCTTGCAGTCCAAGATGCTGAGCTGTTGATCTTCCTCTGATTCCCCATGTGCTCAGTGGTGTAACGTTGCCAATTGGTGACCCCCCCCCCCCCCCCCCCCCCCGCCGAAAATGCACCCCCTGTTGGAGCCCCTCCCCTTTTGGAGCAAAACGCGCAGTTTTGCTAGTACCTCATAATTTAAGTTTTTCAAAGTTATCCCACATTCAAACAACGATTCTGCGCCCCCCTAGGCCTAAGATGCCCCCCCCCCCCCCCCCCCCCCCCCCCCGCCCCCACGCACAGCGGGGTCAGCGGAGCCCTTCGTTACGCCACTGCATGCTCCATAGCAGATCAAACCTAACTCGTGTTCTGATATGATTTTTGACCTGAATCTCAGACTCTCTTCTTCTTATGCTCACTGTAGATATTACCCATTCGAGTCGCAGTTATGACGTGTGACCCTGATGAGACCCTGTGTGCTACGGTACAGCGTTTCAATTTTTGGAACGCTGGTATGTTCTATTACAGATATCTATATTTATCTAATTCTAATGTAATATTTCATTATTAGTAATTATTTAACCAGTGTACCAAAAGCTGGCCCCCAAACTAAGAAACAAAGTCAAAAATTGTTCTTTCAAAGGGTGCATACAGTCCAACAGCAGCAACATCGAGACTGGCTTCATCCTGGGTATGCTAAGTACCAAACAACAAGTGGGAGGTGGATCGTTGGTATACCATTAAATCGATTTAACACCGCAATTCCAGTCGCAAGCCTGGGACCACTACTAGCATAGTCACAACATCTACAAAGCTGCCATATAGCCTGACTGACAATTTTCTCGACTGACTGACAATGTTTCTTCTTTTCCCCATTTAGAATACAAAGATTAGTACATTTTAGCTTATGATTAATATTATATTTTTACCTATAGTTTACCTAGATTGAGAATGAAGTTGGTTGGACAGGCGGGAGTGCAGGTTTTATTTTTACATCCTTACATGTTCACTACATTTTGCTTCTTGGATGAAGAATGCTAGATTGTCTCTCATTGCATTATGGCAACATAGTGGAGGTTTTTCAG